GGCAAAATCATATTTTGCTGATGTATATATCTTGTGATTGTAACTTTCTTGCACCAGTGCACAGTGATTGCCTTGAATTTCGAGTTTTTTTGTATTTAGAGATACATACCACTGACAGATACTGTTTCAGGGACTGGAACAGTACACTGGAAGCCAATCTATCATATTATACATAGGTGTGATCATAGCAAACCTGATGTAGTCCCTGATGATGTGTTTTTATGTTTCTCCTGATGTTTTAGAATTTTTCCCACACAAGGCTGACAACAAAAACATTGAACCTGCGAAGCTCAGACACACCCAATAAATTGTATTTTGCTCATATCTCCCTCAAATCATGTCTGTTTGAGGCAAAATATGATCCCCAACATCCCTTCGATAGTATATGCAATATATAAGGATACTAGGACAACAGGATTTATTCCTGTTGTGCTATGTGCTTACCCTTGGTGCAAGGCCTGACATCAAAAATCATCCGATATGTAATATTTTGCTCATATCTCACTCAAGTCTTATCCGTGTGAGACGATCTGAATTGTGACAGGCCCCTGAGATCAAGTTCTATCTGCTTGTGAATGCCTGAATGCATTGAGGCTAGACATTGCAAACATGGAAAGCATTGACCTTACAATGCTGAAATACACACAGTATATGGGATTTTGCTCATATCTCACTCAACTCTTATCCATTTGGGATGGGCTAAATTCTGCCAGACCCGTGAGATCTAGGGCTATCTGCATGTCAATGCCTGAAGGCATCGAGGCTTGATATCAATAACATCAAAAGCATCAAACTTCTGATGGTGAAATTCACTTGGTATATAGTATTTTGCTCATATCTCACTCAAATCACATCCGTTTAAGATGATCTAAATTCTGATGGGCCCCTGAGAGCGTGGGATATCTGGATGTTAATACCCAAAAGCCTCGGGGCACTCGGCACTCGGCACTCGGAACTCGGCACTCGGCACTTGGCACTCGGAACTCAGAACTCAGAACTCGGCACTCAGCACTCGGTAGTCAGTATATACATAGTATTTTGCAAATATCTCACTCAAATTATATCTGTTTGAGACAATGTGAGTTCTGCCACACCCCTGAGATCAAGGGCTATCTACATATTAATGCTCGAAAGCATCAAGACCAGACATCAAAAACATCGAAAGCATTGAACTTCTGATGCCAAAATTCACCCGGTATATAGTATTCTGTTCATATCTCACTCAAATCACATCCGTTTGAGATGATTTCAATTCTGACGGGTCCCTGAGAGCGAGGGCTATCTGGGTGTTAATACCCGAAAGCATCAGGGCACTCGGAACTCGGAACTCGGAACTCGGAACTCGGAACTCGGAACTCGGAACTCGGAACTCGGAACTCGGAACTCGGCACTCGGCACTCAGCACACAGCAGAAAGCTTGATTGCAACACTGAAGGCACTGAGGTGGATGAGGGAACACCTCCTGACAGTGATTGAATGCCTGAACGCATCAGGGCACTCAGCACTCGGCACTCGGCACTCGGCACTCGGCACTTGGTTCTCGGCACTTGGTTCTCGGCACTTGGCACTTGGCACTTGGCACTCAGCACTTGGTAGTCAGTGTGTGGTATTTTGCATATATCTCACTCAAATTATATCTGTTTCAGACAATCTAAATTTGCCACACCCCTGAGATTGAGGGCTATCTACATGTTACTGCCCGAAAGCATCGAGACCCGACATCACAAACATCGAAAGCATCAAACTTCCAATGCTGAAATTCACCCGATATATAGGGGCACTTGGCACTCAGAACTCGGAACTCGGAACTCGGAACTCGGAACTCGGAACTCGGAACTCAGAACTCGGAACTCGGAACTCGGAACTCGGAACTTGGAACTCGGAACTCAGAACTCAGCACTCGGCACTCAGCACTTGGGACTCGGCACTCAGCACTTGGGACACATTAAATCACATCTGTTTGAGATGATCTAAATTCTGATGGGCCCCTGAGAGCATGGGCTATCTGGGTGTTAATGCCTGAAAGCATCGGGGCACTCTGCACTTGGCACTCGGCACTTGGTACTCAGCACTCAGTAGCCAATATATTGTATTTTGCATATATCTCACTCAAATTATATCCATTTCAGATAATCTGAATTCTCCCACACCCCTGAGATCGAGGGCTATCTTCATGTCAATGCCCGAAAGCATCGAACTTCTGATGCCAAAATTCACCCGGTATATAGTATTTTGCTCATATCTCACTCAAATCACATCCGTTTGAGATGATCTAAATTCTGATGGGCCCCTGAGAGCGAGGGCTATCTGGGTGTTAATACCCGAAAGCATCGGGGCACTTGGCACTCGGAACTCGGAACTCGGAACTTGGAACTCGACACTTAGTGCTCAGCACTTGGTAGTCAGTATATTTTATTTTGCACCTTTCCCAAGTACATACCCTTAATTTCAGAATGAAGTCTAGATGAAATCCAATGAAGTCCGAAGGACTTCTGGAGACTGGCTACTCTGATGGAGTGCTGGAGGACTTCTGGATGAGCACAGGAACCTTCCGGAGGAGTATAGAAACTTCTAGAGAAGTACAGGAAACTCTGGAGGAGTTTCACCTGCTGCATAGGGTCCGAAGATAAGACTTCTGAAGGTAAGCTTCCTAGATGGAAGCACATGGAGGAGAGACTGCAAGGGACAGAGTCCAAAGCAGGATCAGATAGGAGGAGTGGTCCAGAGGACAGGATGTCTGAAGGTTGCGCCATCTGAATGTTCAGATGTCCAAAGGTTAAGATGTCCAAAGGTTATGATGTCTGAAGGTCATGATGTCCAAAGGTTACAATGTCCGAAGGTTTTGATATCCGAAGGGTAAGATGTCCGGAGATCCAAAGGTCCGGAGATCCAAAGGTCTGGAGGTCAGCAGAAGTGGACAGGATTATAGGACAGGAGAATAAAGGCTACCATGGACAAGGTCTGGAGTAGAAGCAAACAGAGGTAGGCTACACTTAGGTGGAGTCGGAGATAACAGGAAGTAGACATAAGTCTTGGAAAGACAGGAAGTGCCAGAAAGGCAAAGGTCCAGCTTAAGGAATTAATCCTTAAGCTTGGATAGAGATGGAAGGACAAATCCAAAGGTTTGGAAGTCCAGCCTAAGGAATCCTTCAGGTTGGACTCAGATCTCAGTACACTTCACTTGATTTTTGATATCCGGGACTCCATAGTCGGAACTTGAGTCTTGAATCTCGGGTGTCGGTTGTCGGTTGTCGGTTGTCGGTTGTCGGTTGTCGGTTGTCGGTTGTCGGTTGTCGGTTGTCGGGTGTTGGGTGTTGGGTGTTGGGTGTTGGTGTTGGTGTCGGGTGTCGGGTATTGGGTGTTGGGTCTCGATGGTCGGGACTCAATATTTGGGACTCGTTGGTCGGGACTTGATACTCGATTGTTGGGATTCAATGGTCGGGCATTGGGTTTCAGGACTCAAATCTCGGGCTTTGGGACTCGGGTTTCAAGACTCAGTAGTCGGGACTCAATGGTCGATTGTCGGGATTTGATAGTCAGGGCTCGGATATTGATTCACTTCACTTGATTTTCGGTAGTTGGAACTTGGCATTTGGCATTTGGTAGGCTTGGATGATGTTGGCTTTCAAAGATCTATTATCATATATTGCTCAATGAAATACCAGACGATCGGAAGTGTGCTGGACATCACATATTCATTTGTCGAGACCCGGGTCTCGGAACTCGGTACACTTCGCTCGAGTTTCCACTTCACCCCTTTGCAAGGCTCCATGCCATACTACATCATTAGATGACTTTGAATTATTACCTCCATGATATACAACTAGCTGAGCTCCATCATGTCTACAATTATCATTCTCCTGGGCCCACCGTTTATATTATATACCCCTACGTCGGCCTACCCGTCTATGCAATATATGTCTACCATTGGCCCACCCATATATAATAAATCTTTCACCGCTCCCTCAGCCCACTCGTCTACAAAATAATACCAATACGTCGGCCCACCCGTCTACAAAATAATATTAATTTGTCGGCCCACCCGTCTAATATGATATATATCTGGGCCCACCTGTCTATGTGATAACAAGCACCCTTGATATACCCGGCTATTTGATACATATCTACCTTGGTACACCCATCTACATAATATCCAACTACCTCGGCCGATCCGTCTATTGAAAATTCATGTCCATCGGCCCACCCATCTACTTTACATATTCCCCACCTGGGCCAACCCGTTTCCATCAGGAATAATAACACTCCCGGCCCATCCGTCACAGTCGAGGATATATCTACCTTCGGCCCATGGTCCGCTGGCCCGTATCATACGGGATATTATGCACGTCCGTTCACTCGTATAATACGGAGATATGTTACTGCAATATGTGGGCCAGCAGCCATTGCCACAGCGGCACTCAGGGTGATGCATCCTGAGCAGTACTGGGCAGGGTTGCAAGCCTTTGCGAGCCTCGGAGAAAAGGCACGAAGCAAGGAACTGCCGAAGATGTCAGAGACTCTCCAGTACTGGGCAACGGTGTTTAACAGCCTCACCGTCATATGCAATCGGGAAACCCCGAATCATCGAGACCCCTCATCGATTTCTGAATGCTTCGATATTCTCACTAGCGTGGGGAATTATTCTAATGCTCGGATGAGTATGCCAAGCCTGCAGCTGGAGTTAAGGTACGATCCGGGGTGCATGATTGCATTTTCGGGAAGGATTGTCAGACACGCGGTTCATGCAGTGGAAGGGGATCGGATTGCCTGGGCATGGTATATGAGGGATGCTGTTCATGTTTATGCTGGGATTCCGTCGTGTGGATGGGCAAGGTTGGATTGGAAGAAGTAGAAAGGTAGTTACCCGTGTTAGTACCCACCTTCAAATACATGATACTAGATGTCAGGCACTCCATACTCAACATTCGGGTTTCAGGTCTTGATAGTCGGGACTCGATATTCGAGTATATTCCATAGTGATGTTGTACACATTTCACCGACTACTGAGTACCGGGTTTCGGGTTTCGGTACACGGTACCCGGTACTTGATAGTCGGGACTCGATATTTGCTGATCCCATGGCCATAATTCGTTCGGGATGGCAGTTGATCCGGTCCACCATGGAGTACCATAGGTGGATACAATGCGGGAGGGATCCCCCAGATCTGCGATGTCTTGAAACTGGCATAGGTGGGATGAAAAGATGTGGTCCAGAACCATGTTCCAGGTGAGCTCGGGAATCAACTGAAGAATATGAGCAACCGGGCTCGGAACAACCGAAATGATGTTACTTGCAGCTGAGTACTGCAGGATGGAAGTCACAAAAGTCTGTTGGAAATGTCAGCATTGACCACCACAGTCATCAGCCTCTTACAGCTATCTCCCATTGCAGCCCGGCTTTAAAGTGCGTGATCCGAGTAGCAGATGGCTCCTGGGTGTGGGCAGCCTCCATCTGATATTGAGAGATGGACGCTCGGATGCGAGATGCAGCCATTGACATTGTAGCTGCAATATCTGCCTGAGTGAGTGTGAGGGGTCGGAACCCATTGCCGGAAGTCTGAGAATTAGAAGGGGATGTTGGGGGAGTATGCAATACAGACATGGTTAATGCAGGATTATGAAGCTGGAAATGACAATGACAATGGCAGTTGGTTCGGAGGTCAAGATATGAGCCACTGGTTGATTGATAAAATTTTTCAAACTCCGACATGGGTCGACCCGGCCAATTCCCGGGACTAAAATGTTTGGGTCAAAGTAGCTGTTTCATATTGTTGGTAAAAAAATTTCATTCATCTCGAGCATCTATAAACCCGGTCTTCAGGTCTTGAAATGCTGCCTGGGCATCCTGTGCCAGCAATGAATACATTTGGGATTGCCTTCCCGAGTAGCATGCATGACCCGGAAGGTGTTTCACCAATGATTCCCGCATCCTGTCACCCCATTGGGTTGCTTTCCACAAGAAAAAGTTACATGTCCAATCCATCTCCAATTGGACCAACATCATTTCTTCCTTCCATCGATCCCGTAGTGCCTTTGCCCGGAGCCTGTCATATACCATATATCCGGTTACAGATCCGATGATCTGGATCTCAGATCCGATCCAGATCCGATGAACATATCCGTCGTCCGGTCCACAGATCCGCTTTGATTCTTATTTCATTTCCTGTTCATATAACTCTAACTATCGTTCATCTCCTTTCGGTATTCCTGTACACCGGTATACCGGTTATCCTTTACTTCCGCTTTGCTTACTGATCCGCTATGCTTACTGATCCGCTACACTTACGAATCCGCTTTTACTTGTACTTCATTCCCGGTTCATGATTCGTGATCCATCCAACTTACCAATACGCTCCACTTAGACTTTGCTTATACTTTCGTACATAGCCTCGCACCTTTGCTTATTGATCATTCCGTTAGCTATCCGTAGTATATAAACCTTTGTATATGCGCTGTAGTAGATCAGTTCGAATATCATCTTAGATTGCACTCATTCCGTCTGGACTCTGAGTCCCTCTGTTATCCATCCGGACTTGAGTACGCTACTCTTGTCTACTCCGAGACTTAGGATAGATTCCTATAGTCTACATATCCGCCTCTGTCTTCGGACAGTCCTCACCCGTTAGTTTCTAGTCCGGATCCGATCCGGATTGGCCGTTACTCTATACGTTCGATATCCGGAAGTCTTAACGGATCCATTGCAATACTTATCCGTTTCACTAGACGCGATACTTTAGCTCTCTGAAATAAGGGGCAAGACTCGGGAAAGGGGCACAGCGCACGAGCTGAGGCCGAAGCCCTTCGAATCCGATACTACTGAGTACGGTCTTAACAGTATATTCGAACTCATACCTTTCCGAGTTACTTAACATCTATCATGCCTCCTACCAAGACACAAACAACTCTGCACGCGGTCGGACTAACCTCCCTCCGTCGTGATCCGACACCTATAGTCAACACCTTCACCAGTTTCTCTCAGCGCCGTGTTAGCGCCCACGGAACCGCTCAAACCATATCCGAACTCCTTAATCGTCGACACCCGGAAACCCCAACACGCACTCCTGCCGTAGGACCTCCGGACGATGATGATCCCGATGATGGTGATGATGATTTCCCTGGTAATCCACCCGATGATAACGGTGGTGATCCGGATGATGATCCGGATGTTGAGGATGATGAAAATGACGGTCTAAACCCACAAGACCGCGTTATGCTTCGACTCTCAGAAGCCATCGATAACCTTGCTCGCAATAATCGTCGCGCGCCCGCATCCGAAGATTCTAGAGTCAAGGTCCGAGAACCGGATACCTTCGACGGATCCGAACCACGGAAGCTCCGTGCGTTCTTTGTCCAGTGTGAGCTTAACTTCCAGAGCAAGCCTAAGGCTTTCCGTAACGGAAGGGCTAAAGTCAACTTCGCCCAATCCTACCTTAAGGGTATGGCCCTTGAATGGTTTGAACCGGATCTCCTGTCCGATGATTTGGACGACCATCCGGATTGGATGGATGACTATTCCGTGTTCATGCTTGAACTCCAAGCCAACTTCGGGCCTCATGACCCATCCGGTGATGCAGAAATGCAGCTCGAACAGCTCCACATGCGCGATGGACAGCGCATCAACAAGTACGTTGTGGAATTCCAGCGTCTTGCTTCACAGGTTCGTGGCTGGGGCGACGGAGCCTTACGACGCCAATTCTACAACGGACTCCCGGCCCGTATCAAGGATGAAATCAGTCGCATGGGTAAACCCTCTACTCTTTCCGAATACAAAGTCCTCGCTCAGACTATCGACGCCCGATACTGGGAACGGAAGGGAGAGATCTCTCGAGAAGCTAAACCCACTTCATCCACTACCCCTAAGCAATCCACTTCTGACCGGACGAACTCCAATACGTCCGGATCCGGAAATCACAAATCCGGAAACTCCAATGATCAGAAGTCTACAAAGCCATCCGCGTCCTCGAACTCGTCCGCTCCTAAGGTTCCGGATCTTACTTCCAAGCTGGGTAAGGACGGAAAGTTAACGTCCGAAGAGCGGCAGAGAAGGATGGACAAGAAACTCTGCTTATTCTGTGGTGGACCCGGCCATACAGCTCGGGAATGCACCAAGTCTACTTCGCGTGCTGCCAAAGGCCGCGCTGCAGTAGTCGCTCCGGAAGTCAAACCGGATGTCTCTACTGAGACAAAAAAATAGTCCGCGACTCTCCTAGCTCCGTGCAGGAAGAGGGTCGCGTTGACTCTGCCTGCACAAAGGAGTTAAGACTCAACGCTGTCGCGCTCTCGGATCCGACTTCCCTCTGTCCATATGTTTCACTTCCGTTACTTCCATCCGTATCCGAATTTCCAGCTCTTGTAGATTGTGGTTCTTCTCATTGTTTCATAGATACTGCGTTCATCCGAAAACATAAAATCCCTACATATCCGATACCTACGATTCCGCTCCGCTTGTTTGATGGTACTTGTAATAATACTATTTCCGAAGCTATAGATTTGTCCGTCCGCTTTCCGTCCGGTGTAGTCACCTCTGATACGTTCTACGTTACCCCTTTGGATTCATCTTGTTTTATCGTTCTTGGATATAGCTGGCTCACCCGACACAATCCGTTGATTGACTGGGTTTTGGGCAGCATCGAATTCCGGACGACATCTCATGGAATGCCATCGACCCCTCCGACGTCACTTCCGTCCTCGGATATCCCTCCTCCGACGGAAACCATACCTCCTCCGACTACATCCGTACCCTCCGCTGATAACACTGTTCCTAATATATCCCTAATCAATGCAGTTGCCTTTTGCCGGGCCTGCAAGTTAGAAGGATCGGTCCAGTTCAGTATATACCTTCGACCATCCGGTGTCGATCTCCGATCCGCTTCTCTATCGTCCGATCCTCCGGATCTATCCAAAATTCCTTCGGACTATCACGAGTTTGCGGATGTCTTCGACAAGGGAAAGGCTGGTCAGCTTCCTCCACATCGTCCTTATGATCTGAACATAGATCTGGAAGAAGGAACTAGTCCTCCCCTCGGAACTATCTATTCTCTATCCCCGGTCGAGCTTGCAGCCCTCCGGAAGTTTCTTGATGAAAATATTGCCTCTGGACTCCTCCGCTCCTCATCCTCTCCTCACGGAGCTCCGGTCCTATTTGTCAAGAAAAAGGACGGATCCCTCCGCCTTTGTGTGGATTTCCGTGGACTCAACCAGATCACTAAGAAAGACCGATATCCATTACCCCTCATTGCCGACCTATTAGACTCTCCGAGCCGTGCTAAAGTTTATACCAAAATCGACCTCCGATCCGCTTATCATCTTGTCCGGATAGCGGAAGGGGACGAATGGAAGACTGCCTTCCGAACGCGCTATGGCTCCTATGAATGGTTGGTGATGCCGGAAGGTCTCACTAACGCTCCAGCAGCATTCCAGCGCTTTGTCAATAGCGTGTTTGCTGATATGCTGGATGTATGCGTTATCGTATATCTGGACGACATCCTCATCTATTCCCATGACCTTGCGTCCCACAAGCAACACGTCCGAGAAGTACTCCGTCGACTCCGTAAACATCGTCTCTATGCCAAACCCGAAAAATGCGAATTCCATTCCACTTCCGTTGAATATCTCGGATATCTCCTATCTCCGGACGGCTTAACTATGTCGTCCGATAAGATCCAAGCTATTACTGACTGGCCGGAACCTCGGAAAGTCAAGGATATCCAATCCTTCCTCGGATTCGCAAATTTCTATAGACGGTTTATATTCAACTACTCGGATATCGTGGTTCCGTTAACACGGCTTACACGCAAGGATGCTCCGTGGAACTTTTCCGATGAATGTCGGAAATCCTTCGAAGAACTCAAGAAAGCCTTCACTACGGCTCCGGTGCTTACGCACTGGATGCCGGATGTTCCTATAGTTGTGGAAACCGATGCCTCTGACTACGCTATAGCTGGAATACTATCCATAGTATGTCCGGACTCAGAGCTTCGTCCGGTAGCGTTCTACTCTCGAACGCTAACCGCTCCGGAACTTAACTATGACACCCACGATAAGGAACTTCTAGCTATATACGAAGCTTTCCGGACCTGGCGACATTATCTAGAAGGCTCGGCCGAGCCTGTAGATGTTGTCACGGACCACAAGAACCTTGAGTACTTCGCCACTACCAAACTCCTCTCTCGCCGTCAGGCCCGCTGGTCGGAATTCCTCCATCAGTTCAATCTTGTCATCCGCTTCCGTCCCGGAAAACTCGGAGTTAAACCGGATTCCCTTACTAGACGCTGGGACGTCTATCCCAAAGAGGGGGATAAGGACTACGCTCGAGTTAACCCTCATAACTTCCGTCCGGTATTCACGTCCGAACAGTTAGCTTCGTCCCTACGAGCCTCAACCTTAGCAACTCCGGTTCTTAGAGCAGCTGTTCTAATGGATATTGATGACCTTCGGAAAGACATCCTGACCGCACTTCCTAATGACCCTATTGCAACCAACCATCTTCCGGTACCTTCAGATCCGAGATGGACAGTGGACGATAGGGGTTTCCTCCGTTGCGACAACCGTATATATGTCCCAGAATCCGATAACCTTCGACTTCGCGTCCTCCGTAATACTCATGATCACCCCTTATCCGGACATTTTGGTCAAAACCGAACCCTAGACCTCATCCGACGCGAGTATACATGGCCGGGTATACGCACCTATGTTAAGGACTACGTCCGGTCCTGCACTACCTGCGCCCGAGCCAAGGTTCCGAGACATAAACCCTACGGATTGCTCAAGCAACTACCCATACCGGAAAAGCCTTGGAATTCCATATCCATGGATTTCATAGAGCAACTTCCGGACTCATCAGGCTTTACAGCCATCCTCGTTATCATAGATCGTTTATCCAAACAAGCAATATTTGTTCCGACTCACGATACCATTACCTCTCCGGATCTCGCTCGTCTATTCCTACTTCATGTGTTTTCCAAGCACGGAGTTCCGTCCCATGTCACCTCGGATCGCGGTACAGAGTTTGTATCCCACTTCTTCCGATCCTTAGGAAAAGCATTGGATATGGTCCTC